GTTGTTATGTTGAGCTGTGGGGGACTCAGGTCCCCTAATTTCTGACATTGCCAGTTAAACAGAAGACCCAATGCTATAATGGGCTACTGGACTCTTTTAGAATATTTTGCTGAGTTTACACACCTATAATATTCAATAACAGAACTTAGAAAAAATGGGGTATACCGATGAATGTCCATTTTGTATCTGTGTATTCAAAGTGCTTAGGATAGATACATAATTGCTTTCTGTTAATGAATAGAATGATTTGTTCTAATGGTGTTTGTAAATACCATCTCAAGTCTGCATCTTGTACAGCAATTAACAACTAAGAAGAATATATGCAGTGTGTTATTTGTTGAATCTGTACTTCCAATTTGATTTGAAACTGTCTCATTGCTATCTGTTTATCAATAAAATTTTGAAAAAAAAATAAAACTACCAATAAATAAAGAAGGAATGACTGATTTTGAAAATTACCTTTTTGTAGTTCCTAATGAAATGACTGAATGAAGCAATGTTTCTCAATGGATGATAAAACCATTAAATATAAGAGTGATGGGAAATTTTATTTTATTTCTTTTATCTTTTTGTGGTTTTTTTCCTTTTTTTTTTTTTGTACCAGAGATTGAATGCAGGCAGTACCTTGCACTTGCCAGGCAGGCCCTTATGCCACTGAGCTATCCCTCCAGCCCTCTTTTTGTGTTTTTTTGAGAGAAGGTCTTGCTTCTCTCAAAGCTCAGGCTGGCTTTGAACTAACTATGTAACCCAGGCTGATCTTGAGCTCATGGCAATCCTCCTGCCTCAGCATCCTGCCTTAGCATATACCACCATGCCTGGCCTGGGAACAATAATGAATTAGACTGTCACCACTGGGGTCCACCACTCAATCTTGACAATACTAAAAGTATGTCTCTTGATATGATGAAATATAAACTATGTAGAACCACCTATAAAATATTACCAAAGGAAAAATTGAGTTAAGTCTAATTTAAATATAAACTCTGGAAACATAGAGCGTAATGGGACAAGTTAAATGATACTACATGAAGGCAATGAGACAACTCCACAATGGAGGACATTGTGTAGACTAAATCATTCAGTGTTTTGACAAATCAATAGCACACAAAGTATGTGTGTGGTGGAGGAGTCAGGTATTGATCAAAATGAAAGGACTTTAACCTTTTTGTTTTAAGACAGGGTATTGCTTTGTAGTTCAGGCTAGCGTGGACTCACTATGCCACTGAGGCTAGCCTGGAACTGATCTCGATACTCCTAACTCGGCCTCCTAAATGTTGGGATTACAAGGGTGTACCACCATATCTGGCACTTAAGCTTTTTTTGACATAAGTAAAAATCACACCAATATATAATAACTGAATCATTTTAGGACACTTACTTGAATATTTGTACAAATCAACTATGAAAAGTCTTTTTCTTTTGGAAATCAAGGAAATGTAAGTATGAACTGGGTACTGGTTATTACAGAAGTACTGTTAATTTTTATAAGTACAATAATGAAATTGTGGCTATACATAAATACTGCCTTTTTATTTTCAAGAAGCTTCCTGAAGTGCTTAGAGATTTATTTTAAAACACTCCAACCCCTTACCCCAAAGTGAGGGAGGGATGGGACACACTGGGGAAATAGAGGAAAGAAGTCTAGTAAAATAATTACGATTGCTAGGGTTGAGTGGTTGGCAGGGTATGAGATTCCTTTCTTATACTTTTGGATGTGGCTGAGATTTTTGTAATAAATTTTTTACAAAGAGGACTACTGGGAAACATTTGTACCCTAAACATTATAATGACATATGGAACATCTTCCACTTGCTCCAGAGCTTCATGGGTAACTAAGAGAAATTCAGTGACCTCCTCTAGTTCTCTCAGTGCCCTGGAGTATTATTTGCCTGGGCCAGAGAACAAATCCATTTAGAATGAGAAAGGCCTCTATGAAAGCCCTTTTCATAGAACTTGGGCTCCAAATGCTTTGTATCACATGTCCAGATGATTCTCCTTGATAGACATGTGTCGATTTCTTTGTGCCTTGCATTCTTTTTGGTTAAACTGTGGTTCAAAATAGCATATTACTATTGTATCCTTAGTATTTCTCTCTGATGAATAAATGTACTAATAGTTATTTGCTAAGTTTTCTAGGAAGTTCACAACAGGTAATATAGTAAAAATCCTCACCTTTAACAGAGGACTAACTCTGTAGCATTCTACCACAAACTAGAAAACTGTAATGGGGGAACTTATTGTGGAGTGGCAGTTATGATTAGGGTTCTCATTGCCTATCCTGTCCGCACTGATTTGCAAAAAATGCACTTATTTTGTGATGGGACAATCCATTTTGGGGTCTATTTATTATAGAGGTTTAGTACACCCTAACTAATAAACAATATATTCCTTTTTTCAGAACTGAAAGACATGATTCCTCAGAAGTATTGTTTTGCATCAAAACCCAAAGTAATCCTAGCATACTTCTTCAGTCAACAGTGATAAATGCACAGTCATAGTAATCTAAATGTGATTATTAATGAAACTAAAAATAGTGATAAAGTATATTGGGAAGATATGGGGAAGGAAATAGAGTAACAGTGGAAGTCAAAAGAAAAACTAAAAAGGATGATAAATTTGATAAACCAAAATGTTAGTACAATCCATTATTTGTAACACAGAGATAAATGCATGATAAAAATAATGAGTGAATATAAAAGAAGAAAGTGGTTGCCTTTGGGCAATGGGACCGAATGATGGAATTACAAACAGCAAAGAGCTATGGTTTGTGCATGTATCAGATTTTTAAACTGTATTTATGTATTAATACTGCTGAATGCTTACAGATATATAAGAAGAACCCACAGGTGACATGGATTCTATGGGACAGCAGAATAAAAAACGGGAATATAATAAAATAAAAAGTTAAGGTGTGGGGCTGGTGAGATGGCTCAGTGGTCTAAAGCACCTACTTAGAACAAGCTCAGCAAAGCCCAGCACCACATGCCAGCTCAACCCTGCCCCCTGGTGGGTTGAGCTGGCCACACACACACACACACACACACACACACACA